CTGATGTGACCTACCATTGAATATTAAAAATAATATTCTGGCTGTAGTGTGGAGAATAAATTATTTGCCAGAATGGGTATAGGTAGATTCTCTGCCCTTAAATGAGTCTTTTTTTTTTCTCCCCTCCCTTCCATTCATTGTGGCCTTTTGATGAAAGAAAGTTTCTACCTTTAAAGTAGTTTCTCATAGTACAAATACTAAAACCAGATAGTTCAATATAATTATGGTCCCTTTATATTTTAAACACTTAGGTATTTAATTAATGGTAATCTAAATGACATTTATTTTTTATCTTTCCCTTGTAATGCTTATAGCTGCAGTAGTTAAATAATATAGTTGACTAGTTTTTAATGAATTCGGTGGTAGAATGTACTGCTAACCTTGGAAATTCCAAGTGTTAAACAGCTTTCAAAACATCAAAGAATAATATTAAGTTGTTTGTATCAACTTTTTATGTGTATGTTGTTCCACTTAATTAAAAATCTTAAATATCATTAAATGATAAAACAAAATTCATTAAATTTGTGATTTCAAAATTAAGTGATATTGTGAGTAGCAATTTTTAAAGAAAAAAAACCCCAAATAACTAAATATTAATGTATTAGCTCCCCCTACTGCTTGATCACATTATTTTATTTACAATAGTATTTTATGTCCAGTTTTCTGTCAGCCTTAAATGAAATTGATGGCTATTTTGTACTTTGTTCCTGCCTCCTTACCCCACATGATAAATTTGAGAAATGAAAAATGTGTTTAGTAGTTTTTTTAACCCTTAATAAAGTATTTTTTTTTCAAATTTCAGTTTTATTTTTCTCAAAGGACTTTAAAGGCTTTACATTCCTTGAGTCTGATTATTTACAATTTCATCATCCAATATATCTATTAAGACCTGTTTTGTCCTATATATTTCTGTTTCTTTTAAAAATTAAGTGGCTTAAGACTTAATAGTTTGATGTGTCCTAATTTACTCACAGAATTATATTTGAAACTATTATGGTTAATATATATACATATACATTTTAACCTTAAGATTATATGTGTAAATATAGGCAAGTATTTAGTAGTCTTATTTATAATTGAGGCATTAATGTTCACCCTTGTTGTCTTTCTGCTTTCTTGGCATGAGATCAATATCTGAGTTTTCAGAAAAAGGAAATTAAATGCTTTCTACTAATAAGTCACATAGAATGCTTTCTACTCATAAGTCCTCCCTTCTGTATTAATTGTTGTGAATGATATTCCTCTTTTTGTTAACTTGAAAGCTTAAACTTCTAACTATTTAGATAAAAATGTGTGGTTGCTCTATATACTCAAATGGAAGAGGTTGGGTTATGGTAATAGTTTTATGTTGTGGATTTGGTTCCAGGTCATAACGGTACTATCTAGGGTTTCCAACGCTAGAAATCTTTACAGGAGCAGAAATCCTCTTCTTTCTTCCAAGGAGTGACTGATAGTTTCAAAGTGCTGACCTTGAGGTTAACAGCCTTACTCGTAACCCACTATGTCAGCAGGGTACCTTTCCTTTGTATAAAATAGTGTATTGTTTTGCTTAATGTAATTTATAAATCCCAGTGTGGTGCCATAGGATAAGCACTCAACCTCAAGGGTTAGTTTGAACTTCAAGGTCAGCAGTTCAAACTCACCAGCTGCTCATCGGAAACCCTATACAGGGTCACTCTGAGTCAGAACTGACTCGATGGCACTTAACAACAATAAGTTGTGCCTTAGGTTTAATTTTAATATTTTGTAAGCTTAGGGAAGAATGTTACTGTTGTTAAGTGCCATCAAGTCGGTTCTGTATAGGATTTCCAAGAAGTGATTGGTGGGTTTGAACCCCCGACTTTGAGTTAGCAATCCAGTGCTTCTCCTACAGCATCATGCCAGAACTCCTTTGTTAGTTGTTCAATGTCTCAATTCCAACTCATAGTGACCCTGCATAGGGTTTCCGAGGAGCTGCTGATAGATTTGAACTACTAACTTGTGGTTAGCAGTTTAGCACCAACAATTTATTTACAGCAGTCTGAAACCTTTGCAAAGTCATTTGGGCCATGTTATTAGTTGCAGTTGTTGCCAAGTGTCATTGAGTTGGTTCCAATTCATGTTGTTGTTGTTAGGTGCCATTGATTTGGTATTGACTCATAGCGACCCTATGCACAACAGAATCAAACACTGCCCGGTCCTGGGCCAACCTCACAATTGCTGCTACACTTGTGCCAATCCATCTTGTTGGGGATCTCCCACTTCTTCTCTGACCTTCCATGCTACCAAACATAATATCCTTCTCCAGTGACTGGTCCCTTTTGACAATATGTCCTAAGTATGAAAGGCAAAGTCTGGCCATCTTGGCTTCCAAGGAGCACTCTGGCTGTAGTTCTTCCAACATGGATCTATTTGTTCTTTTGGCAATCCTTGGTACTTTTAGTATTCTCCTCCAACACCATAACTCAAATGCATCTATTCTTCTATGGTCTTCCTATTCACTGTCCAGCTTTTGCATGTATATGAGGATATTGAAAATACCACGGCTTGGGTCAGGCTAACCTTAGTCCTCAGACTGACATCTTGCTTTTCAACACTTTTCATTTTAATATACTTGTTGCTGTTCTACCTTTCAAAACTGTAAACTTAAATTATTTATTTTATACATTTCACCTCTTTAAATATTAACATTTACATTTTAAAGTTTTTGATGACTATTGCTTTACATAAAGAGCCCTGGTAGTGTGGTGGTTACAAATTGGGCTGCAAACCACAAGGTCAGTAGTTCGAAACTACCAGCTTTTCCGCGGGAGAAAGATGAGGCTTTCTCCTCCCGTAAAGATGTACAGCCTTGGAAACCCTGTACAGGGTCACTATGAGTCAGTTCCGACTCCACAGCACATAATCACCACCACCATTGCTTTATATGTATTCTACAGATTTTGATATGTTTTCTTGTTTATTCAATTCAAAATATTTTCTAATTTCCCATATGATGTATTCATTGATTTATGGGTTCTTTTGAAGTGTGTTGTTAAATTTCCAAATATTAGGGATTTTCAGAAATGCAGTTGATTTCTAATTTAATTTCCTGATAGAGAACACATGTAGTATTACTTCAACCCTTTCAAATTTAATGACTTATTTTATGGTCCAGAATATGGTCTATCTTGGTGTAGTTTTAACCAGTATTGTTCTGCTGCTGGTAGGTATACTGTTCACCTGTGTGAATTGATTGACATTGTCTTTAAATATTTTTTTATCCTTATTATGCCTCTGTCTATTTGTTTTAATTTATGTGATAGAAATATTAACATTTCCAACTATTATTATGGACTTTTCAACTTGATTTTAAGTTTTGTCAGCTTTTGTTATTTAATTTAGTGTATACATACTTATGATTTTTATTTTTTCTGATGCAGTTAATTATGATTATGAAAAGTTTTTGTCCCTAATCGTATTCCCTGTTGTAATATCTACTTTGTGTGATGTTAATATAGTCATTATAGCTTTCCTTTGGTGTATGTTTGCATGTTTTGTTTTGTTTTGTTTTTCATTCTTTAAATTTTTATGCTTATAATTGGGCCAATTTATAATCTCAACTTTCTGGCTATCTTGCTGGATGCAGCAGCTCCTCCTCTGGCTTTGGTTGGGAGAGTACCTCAGGGCTGGTGGGGAGCTGTCATATTGATGACCTTGAAGGTGAAGCAGTACCTGGGGGTCCTATGGTGGGGGTGGGCTCTTGGTGGTGTCCCTGGTGGCAGGACATTAAAGAAGCTCCGGATGTTCCCCTAGGGTTGGTGTCTTCTCTGGGACTCCTATCCTTGTTACCTAAGCAAGAAGTGGCGTCTCAGGGAGGAAGCCCCTTCAGCTTACAGGTCTATAGACCGTAGATCTGAACTCAGGTTCTAATCCTGCCCCTACAACCACCATAGTGGGAGGGCACCAGCACCAACAGGTCAGGTTTTTCCCATCTAGGAAGAAAGGCCTGGTTGCAGAGAGCATAGCTAGAGGAAGCAGCAGGCACCTAGGCTTAGCTCCATAGCTTCACACAAGCCATGTGATCTCACATGTTCTGTGATTTAGACTTTATTGGAATACTATATTGTCCAAATCACACGATTCACATTACATCTTATTTCATAGACTGTGTTAGGGATGTTGTTAAGTGCCGTTGAGTCATTTCCAACTTATAGCCACCCTGTATCGGGTTTTCAAGGAGCAGCTGGTGAGTTTGAATCACCGACCTTGTGGTTCAAACCGACCTTGAGGTAAAGTGATTATCCTATGGTACCACACAGGACTTTTAATGGACAGTGACTTTGTGGATATTAAATGGCATATAGCTATACACAGTAAAACCTATGAAAGCTAGAACTGGTGTAAGGTGGAAAACTCAAAGATTTTCTACCAATGGAGATTGATAGGAAAGTGGTAAGACTGAAGGCTGTTTAAAGACTTATTCAGCTTTTGTTGTTGTTATTATTAAGTGCCATTGAGTCAGTTCCAACCCATAGTGACCCTGTATAGAGTTTCCAAGGAGCAGCTTGTGAGGTTAAACTACTGACTTTGTGCTTCAAACCAATTTTGCAGTCCAGTGCATTAACCTCCATTAATTCAGTCATTAGGAAAACTCAAATTAGAATAAAAGTTTAAAGACTTTGGGAAGTTGTTATAAATGATACAATTTTATCTTTAGTTCTAGAAAGGGAAAAAAAAATGGAGGCCAAAATTTTTTCATTCAGTAACTGATTTCCAAGTTTAAACTTCAGTTGATGAACTCAATTGTAACAATACCCCCCCCCTTTTTTTTTTTTAATCTGCAAATATTCCCTGAAAAAAATTTTTTTGTGTGTGTTCTTCTGTGTGAGTTTGTTTTTGGCATTAGCTGGAATAATTAAGGAGAGGTAAGTGTGTATTTCTAAAATTGACTTTGTATGTTTATGCTTTACTTGAATATGAAATCTGTGAGATCAATTCTGAATTGGTAATTTGTAATACCATGCATTTTGATATAACAGGATAGACTTGATCCAGCTGATGCTCAAAGTATTTGTCATGTCTGGCACATGAATATAGAAACCCTTCCAGAATGGATAAGCAACATAATACAAAAAGTAAGTTTCCTAGTTTCTGAGGAAAACACAGTCTTTAGAATGTTTTCATCCTCATTTTTAGATATGTTTTTCTTGGATGCATTTTTTCAAGAGACATGAAAGGGTGTCAGTCTTGATTATATTCTTGAGCATTGCTACAGTACTCCAGTTACTTTGCGCCTCAGACTTGTATTTGGTATGCCCTCTTCTTTGGGTGCTCTTCACACAGCCACTCACTTGGCTTGCTCCCTCATTTCTATAATGCTTTACTTTCAGTGAGACCAACCTATCAACTCACCCCTACTCTCTACTCCCCATTCCATTACTAATCGTCACAATTTTTTCTCCCTTCTCTGCTTTATATAGCTATCTGTATTTATGCAAACACATTATAACATATACTACTTACTTATAAAGGAACTCTGGTAGTGTAGTGGTTACGAATCGGGCTGCAAACTTTAAGGTCAGCCGTTCAAAACGACCAGCTGTTCTACAGGAGAAAGATGAGGCTTTCTGCTCCTGTAAAGATTTACAGCCTCAGAAACCCTATACAAGGTCTCTGTGAGTCGGAACCGACTCCATGGTACATCACTACCACCACCACCACTTACTTATAACTATGCATATTATATATCATATATACCAATAAATACATTGTTCTATGTTGTTGTTAAGTGTCATTGTGTCAGTTCAGACTCATAGTGACCCTGTATAGGGTTTCCAAGGCTTTAAATCTTCACCAGAGCAGAAAGTCTGGTCTTTTTCTGTGAAGTGGCTGGTGAGCTCAAACCATGTGCCTTGTGGTTCATAGTCCAGTGCTTATCATATGAAGCCACCACACTCCCAAATTGTTATGTAACAATGTATATAATTTATGGTGGTGGTGGTTATGTGCCATGGAATCAGCTCCGACTCATAGCGACGCTATATAGGGTTTCTGAGGCTGTAAATCTTTACGGGAGCAGAACGCCTCATCTTTCTCTTGCAGAACCGCTGATAGTTTTGAACTGCTGACCTTGAGGTTAGTAGCCCTACTCGTAACTACTACGCTACCAGAGCTCCTTAGATAATACATACACATATGCAAATACGTATGAGGGGACTTCAAAAAGTTTGTTGAAAAATGGACTTGAAAGACAATGGATTTTTTTCACGAACTTTTTGAAGCCCTCTTATTTTGCTTATCTTATTAATTGCCTAGCTCACCCAATAGAATATGAGCCCCATGTAGTCAGGGACTTACATATTTTGTTCATTACATTATCTTCAGCAACTGAAAATTATCTCTGATGAGTGAATCAAATATCCCATATTTGCCATTCTTATATGTTGTTGTTGTTAAGTGCCGTTGAGTCGGTTCCGACCCATAGCAACTCTGTACAGGGTTTCCGAGGGTGTAAATCTTTACAGGAGTAGAAAGCCTCATCTTTCTCCCGCGGAGCGGCTGGTAGTTTCGAACCACTGACCTTAAGGTTCGCAGCCTGATTTGTAACCACTACGCTACCAGAGCTCCTTATTCTTATATGAGGGGGCTTCAAAAAGTTCATGGAAAAATTAAAAGATAATGGAATGTTTCCATGAACATTTTGACGCCCCCTTTTATACATACATATATTTAAACTCAGTAATTAATCAGTATTGTTGCCTGACTAGAGTCCTGGTATGGTGGCACAGGATAAGTACTCGACTGCTAACCTCATGGTTGGCAGTTCAAACCTACCACCTGTTCTTTGGAAACCCTGTACATGGTCTTTATGAATTGGAACTGGCTTGATGGCACTTAACAACAACAACATTGCCATGGCCAAAGTAAAAATAGTACATTTTTAAGGCTTCTTACGGAATTATTAGAATTGCAAGAACTCACCTTGTTCATGGAGTCCTGGTATGGCATTGTGGGTTAACACGCTGGATTGCAAGGTCAATTTGAAACTTATAGTTGGCAGTTCAAGCTCACCAGCCACTCCTTGGAAACTTTGTACAGAGTCTTTATGAGTTGGAACTGACCCATGACACTTAACAACAGCAAAAACAACACCTAATTAAATCGTTTTTAGTTATTTCTTGCAATGTGGAACATCTAAATCCTAGAAAAGTGTAAGTAATATGGTGTCTAGGAAAATATTATATTTTTCTACTGACTTAAAATACAGCTCACTTTTTTGTTGTTGTTACAAAACTAACATTTGATAGATATAACTTGCATTCATTTTCACATTGTAATAATTTACTGGGGAAATGCTTACACACTGATTTAAGTGTCCTGAACTTCACAAAATGTATTTGGACACTGCAGATGTTCCTCTAACTCTGTTGAAAAGATCATTTTAAGCCAATTCATTATATTTCAATCTGAGTATAGAAAAGCCATTATCTGTTGTATGTAACCAACATCTTTTGGTTGTATATAAAAAGCTAAGAAGAGCTTTATTCTGTTGCTTGGGTAAAGTTCCCTCCCACAGTGCTTGGTATGCAAGAAGTGTATCAAAACAGACACTTTTCTGTGAGATTTTACTTGCAAATTAAGCTCTGTAGACTGATTTCCTTCCTGGTTCCATAGTGTATTTTTCTTTTCATTAGTTCACACTGTAACCATATTCAACCCATTGTTTCAAAGGCTCTTTTTTAAAGAATTCTTTGGATTATTGTTTGGATGGGCATGATTTGAAATATGTTATCATTCCAGAACTGCTTATCTCTATTAACTGGAAGGCTTGCTTCTATTTGCTGTTCTGTCTACTAATCAGAAAACAGTACAGTAGTCTTTTCTCTAGGATAGAAAACTTTCATGTAGTTGCCTTTAAAATTTTTGTTTCACATTTTTTTGATTACTCTACAATGAAAGTGTTCTTGTCCCCTCCTTTTTTTTTCTTTTTACCTGTAGACCCAGTGGACAGTTGGAAAACTAAATTGTCCTTTCTGTGGGGCCCGTTTAGGGGGCTTTAATTTTGTCAGCACTCCAAAATGTTCCTGTGGCCAGCTTGCAGCTGTGCATCTCTCCAAGAGCCGGACCGTTTATCAGCCAACACGGGCAGACCGACTAATGAGACCATCACTGAAATACTTGCCACATCCTCGAGTTCAGTCAGGTTGTGACAAGGAAACTCTGCTGACAGGTGGCACCTCCAGAAAACGAAATCACAGGCTTTTCAACATGGCCCAAAATACTAATGGCCCTGGAAGATTAACAGAAGCACTCTGCCTGGAGGTGCGATCAACATATTTTGCGATGAAGAACGAAAAACTGCTCTTTCAGTCATCAGATCCAAAATACCAGTTTTTTGTTCCCCAGCTTGTGACTGGAAGATGCACTGCAAGAGCTTTTCATAGAAAATCACATAGTTTGGATCTGAGCATCAGTGAAAACCTTACTTTATTGCCTACTTTGTATGAAATACATAGTAAGACGACTGCATATTCTAGACTAAATGAAACACAGCCTATTAAGCTTTCTGGCTTGCATTTAGACAATAGTAAAAATAGCTGTTCTTTTAAGAATCCATCCAATTTTGATCCTAATATGATACTGCAAAGATTTTCAGTGGCTCCCCATGAGACCCAGACACAAAGAAGAGGAGAATTTCAGTGTAATCTAGAATCTTCTGCAGTGTTCTCTGATCATGCTAGTTCTAACAACTTGACTTTCCTAATGGACCTGCCGTCGGCTGGCAGGAGCATGCTGGAAGCTTCGGACCAGGAAGAGCATCTCTCTCCTCTGGATTTCCTGAGTTCAGCCAGTTTTCCATTGGGCGCCATTAACCAGAGGCTCAATAAGAGAGAAAGAAGCAAGTTGAAGAATTTGCAAAGAAAACAACAAAGGCGTGAAAGATGGCTACAGAAACAGGTAATTTTTTAAAAAACTAGTTTGCTAAAGTTTATTGTAAAATGTGAGGTTTGGGGAGTGAAGCTACCTTTAAATTCCTGTATTACAAAAACTTGTTTTAAATATTTCTTTAAATGAATTTCTCTCTAGGTGCACTTAATAATTATGCAGCCTTATTATAATTGCCATATAGCCCTATGCTTCAAAAGTGTTTAGAAATGTCCCTTTTGCATAATTTTGACAAATTCTGCTGATATTTTAGGGGTCCATTATTCTTGTGGTATTGGGACTAGATTGCTTACCACGTACATTGTAAATTTATCACGTGTTTGGATTGCTTTGGACTTCTGCTGTGGTGTTGTAGAACCTGCAAAAGGTCAGCAGTTCAAATTCACCAGCTACTCCTCGGAAAGCCTATACAAGATTGCTATGAGTCAGAATTGATGGCACATAACAGCAACAACAGGATTGCTTTACACTTAATTTGTTTGAGGTTAAGTAGAAACACAAAAAAGTTTCTACAACTAAATACTATCTCTAACTAAATACTATTACTAAAAACAGATTCATTTATGTTCATCACATTTCGCTTAAATGGATTTTTTTAAGAACCTTATTTATTTAGGTAATATTTGGACACAGGGTCTAGACTTCCATCTTGCAAAAATTTTCTAAAGGGTAGTTGACCTTTACAGTAGGTTTGTAGGATATTCTTCTTCTTTATGATTTGCACTGCTTTGGTGCCCATAATGACATGTTCAAGGGTAGGGTGAATGAAGGAATTGAACAATAAACATAAGATGCCATGGAAGCGAATTAAAGTCAGTAGATGAGGTGCTCATGAAAATGTAGAAGTTTGAAGACTAGCATATTTCTGTATAAACTTATTTTACAAATCGTGTTTATTATTAATATGATGTAATTGACAGTAGTCCTTATAGGTATCTGTTGAATATTAACACTACCCTCAGAGCTAAAATATAGGAAGGGACAACTTCATATAATAGTTTATTCTGTTTAAACCAGGTAGTGAACCCATTATTATTTGTGACAAACTAAAAAACTGTTTTACATTAAACAAACAAAAAATTCCTACTTTGAATGCTTCCATCAGAGCAGATGTTTTGTTACATAGTACAATTATAATTATAGGTAATTATTTATTATAGTTTTTACTGGTTGCCAACAGGGGAAGTCCTGTTTAACTTATATGCAAGTGGTACTGTAAAGTGAGTTCAAAGTATGTGTTATAGAATATAAAAATGAATGTTACCCTGTTATCATGATACTATTATAACATATTTCTTAGTCTTAATTTATTAAAACTATACATTTCAAAACTTTTATTGAAAATTTGATGTACACCTAGATAAATTAGAGAGCAAATACTGGATGTCTCCTTAGGAAATGAAATTTAAAAGATTATAGCACCTTGAACACATATCATGTTTAATAGAGCCAGAAAGAAGTCAGTCATGCCAATACAAGTACAAAGATAAATCCTAGAAAGAGTTCTTATATGAGGTAAATTAATGACTTAGCTATTAAAGTTCATTCCATGTTTAGTGACAATTAAATCAGCAAACATTTATTAGATCTCTGTTTGCAAGATATGATGGCTGGGTAGTGAAAAGAATGACTTCAGTGCAGATCCTGCCTCTTTCTAACAAGGGAGTTAATGATAATAAATATAAAGGAAAAGCTGGCTATTGTTAATAATAATTTTAAGAAAGTTGAAAAGAATTGGTTAGGAAATGTAGTTTTCTGACATTGATACTTTTAATGAATTTTTGTGCAAACTAGACTTTTTCAGTGGCAAACATCATAATAAAAAGTATTGTGGTACTGTAGAATAAGCACTGGACTGTTAAGTGCAAGTTCAGCAGTTCAAACCCACCAGCTTCTCGTTAGAAACACTGTACAGGATCGCTGTGAGTAGTAACTAACTCCATGTTACTTAACAGCAAAATGACATTACCAAAAAGTAATTAAAATTTTTGAAATTAAGCGTTGTAAATGAGATTGAATTTGAAACAAACACTATGCAGTTTTATAATATTTGGCCAATTAATAGTGTTTTTATTCAGCAGACATAATTTTGGGGGAGAAATTCTTGGTTCTGTGAGCCACATTTAGTCAGCAAACATCTATTTCTATCTAGTCTTTTTTTTTTTTTTCATTTGAATATAAAATATATCGTGCATTAAAATTGGACATTCTTAGCATACAGTTCTATAAATTTTAGCCATGTATAATGATTCATTTGACCACTACAACAGTGAGGATACAGAACAGTACCATCACCCCCCAAATTCCTTTGTGCTATAATCACACCCTGTTCCCACATCTAATCCCTGTTAACTACTGAGTCATCAGCACTTTAGTTTTTGTCTTTCTGACGATCTTATCAAAGTAGAATCATACCATATCTAACCTTATAAGATTAGGATCTTTTACTCAGCATAATTGCCTGTGAGATTCATCCAAGCTGTTGCACACATCAATAGTTTTGTTTTCTTTTTTAAAATGAGTAATAGTAGTCCATTGTATGAATAAACCACAGTTGTTTAGCCATCCACTCCTTGAAGGACAGGTGGGTAGTTTTTGGCTTTTCTGAATAGAGCTGCTATAGAAATTCCTGTACAAGTTTTTGTTTGAACCTACATTTTCATTTCTCTAGGGTAAATACCCAGGTGTAGGCTTGCTGGATCATATGGTAAGTGTACATTTAACGTAAGACGCTATTAAACTGCTTTCCATATGACTACCTTTTCAACATTCTCAGAAAGAATATTTTACTAAATATTTATTTTCCTAATAATTGTATCACACTGATTTTAATTTGCATATCCCTAAGGAGAATAATGATGTGAAACATTTATCATGTGCTTATATGCCATTTGTGTTTATAGTTTTTGAAACCTTTCATTGTGAATTGAGTGAAGGTTTATAGAACAGATCATCAGTTTTGTATTCAGCATATCCTGTACTTTGTTTCATCTCAATGATTGCAATCTTTGTGTATATTGTTATTGCTGTACCTTTTCAAATCTTTGTTCATTCTTTATTAGATTTTCTGTTTCCTTCCTGTTGAGCTTTGAGAATTCTTTATTTATTTTGGATGTATGTCCTTCATCTGTTAAGTGATTTGCAATTATTTTGTAGGTAGCTTGTATGCTGTTAAATGCCATAGAGTTAGTTCTGAATCATAGTAATCCTAGGTACAGCAGAATGGAACATAAACCTGTCTTGCACCGTATTCACAAGTGTTGCTATGTTCGAGCCCATTACTGCTGCCATTGTGTCAGTCCTTCTTGTTGGGGGTTTTCCTATTTTTTGCTGACCCTCCATTTTTCCAGGCATGTTATCCTTCTCCTGGGACTGGTCCTTTCTGATAACATACTGAAATTACGAGAGAAAAAAATCTCATCACTGTTGTATCTAAGGAGCAATCTGGCTATAATTCTTCCAAAACACATTTGTTTGATCTCCGGCAGTCCATAGTATATTCAGTATTCTTTGAGGAGGCAACTTTTCCCCAGTCGCATTTTGAGTGCCTTCCAACCTGAGGTGCTCATTTTCCTATACTATATTTGACAGTGTTTTTCTGCTATTCATAAGATTTTCAGTAACTAAATATTCAGAAGTAGTCCGTCACTCCTTCTTCCTAATTTATCTTTGTCTGGAAGCTCATCTGAAACCTGTCCACCATGGGTGACTCTGCTGGTATTTAAAATACCCGTGGCATAGCTTTCAGAATCACAGCAACTCACACACCACCACAGTATGAGAAACATACAGAAAAGTGGTGGGAATAGATGATTGGGACATACTAAAAATTAAAAAACTTATGTGCATCAAAAGACTTCACCAAAAGAGTAAAAAGGGAACCCACAGAATGGGTAAAAGTCTTTTTCAACAACACATCAGATACAGGACTCATTTCTAATAGGAAACTACAACACCTCTACAAGAAAAAGACAAATAACCCAATTAAAAAATGGGCTCAGGACAGGAACAGACACTTCACCAAGGAGGAGATCCGGGCAGCCAATAGACATATGAAGAAATGTTCACTTTCACTAGCCATTGTTGTTGTTGTTAAGTGCTGTTGAGTCGGTTCTGACCCATAGCGACCCTTTATAGGGTTTCTGAGGAGCAGCTGTTAAGTTTGAACCATCAACTTTGCAGTTCAAATGGCTTTGTAGTCTGGCTCATTAACCCACAGTGCCACACCAGGACTCCTAGCACTAGCCATTAGAGAGGTGCAGATCAAAACAACAGTGGGCTATCATCTCACACCAACACAATAATAGCAGAGATCAAAAAAGTAGAGGACAATAAATGCTGGGGAGGATGCGGAGAGACTGGGACCCTCTTACATTGCTGGTGGATTGCAAAATGATCCAACCTCTCTGGAAAACAATATGCCGCTTCCTCAGAAGGCTGGAAATAGTAATTCCTTATGATCCAGTAATTCCTCTACTTGTTATTTACCCACCAGAAATATGAGCCATAATGTGAGTAGGATATATGCATACCAATGTTCACAGCAGCACTGTTTACAATAGCGAAAAAGATAGAGACAGCCTAAGTGCCCATCAATTGAAAATGGATAACCAAACTGTCTGGTAGCATAGCGGTTACGAATCAGGCTGCGAACCGCAAGGTCAGCAGTTCGAAACTACCAGCTGCTCCGTGGGAGAAAGATGAGGCGTTCCGCTCCCGTGAAGATTAAAAGCCTCGGAAACCCTGTGCAGGGTCGCTATGAGTCAGAACCGACTCCACGGCACATAACAACAACAACAACAACAACCAAATTGTGGTACGTACACACAACGGAATATTATGCTACCTTGAAGAATAACAAGGAACCTGCAAGCCACCGTATAACATGGATGAACCTTGAGGACATTGTACTGAGTGAAATTAGTTATTCACAAGGGAGAAATACTGCATAGGACCATTATTGTAAAAGATTAAGAAAAAGAACCCACCCTAAAAGGGGAGGGGGGAGATATTTTATGGTTACCAGGATATATGGGGTTGTTTGAGGGGAGGGAGGGGAAGGTGAACACAGCGTTGGGAATAGACACAGGACAGATTAGTTGCTGGGGGGTGGGAGGGACAACACACAAGAAAGGTGAGGGGAATGGAAGAATAAGGCAGATGGGAGAACAGTTAGGCAGATCTGCATGGACTAAGTGTGAGGGAGGTAAATAATGTTGGATACACAACCTTGGAACAACAGGGCGCTGGGTACAGGGATTGAGGCATGGTTTGAATGGGTAAAAGTGGGGAAATATTGTTAAGATGCTTGGCTGTCTTTTGAATCATGGTTTCCCATGCCTACCATTGTAAAATAGACACTTGACGGGGAGAGAAAGGAATAGCCAGAAACATCACCATAGAAAGCTTGTAAGTCCATCTTCAGCCATAACTGATTGGAATACCTAATATGGGGCTAGAACTTGCCCAGTGAAGGAGGCTTCCTGTGGAGCCTTGGCATTGCATAAAACCATATGTGGAATCCTGAAACCTATCCAGAGTCTTCTGAGGTCAGAAATTTCCTTGTGAAAGGACAAGTAGACCAGCCTGTAGTGGCTAGAAGAACAGAAGATATTTCTTGAAAGAAAGACCAGTGTGAAAAGTTGAAAAACTATAATGGCAGTCCAAGTGAATACTACAAGAACAAGTAAGGTGTTCACCCAGGAGCCATCAAGGCAAGTGGTCGGGTCCCCCTCAGGTCAAGCCCCCTTCTAAGACTAAGACTCAAAAGGAATACATGAGCAGGCATGTGCTCTGGCTGGTGACCATGTTGGTCACTGATAAGGGGAAGTGAGGGAAAACAGTAATGAGGTTGTGAGCTAAATCTGACCATGTTCAGTAGATTCCTGTGAACCTGGATTGAGACCTGGTTGGCCAGCAGTATGGCAAGACCTGAGAACTCCTGGGCCCAGAGACTGTGACATGGCCACAGAGGACTAGAGCAGAGAGTGAAATGTCCAGCCGATAAGAAGTGAGGGGAGATACATGAGAACACCCATACTTGCAGATAGTACCCACTTGACCTAGATTCCATGGCCTGATGATCATAACTCAACTAGAAGAAGAAAGAAGAGGGAAAAAAAAAAAGAATACTCTGCTACAATTTCATGAACTTGACCTATATTTATGGATGTAGTAGCTCAGAAGTGGGAACAAATCTTTACAACGAGGATCATTCGCACCCCCTTGATATGCAGCATTGACAGAGATGGGCACCTTAGACATTGGATATCCAAAAGGGGACGGGGGAGTACAAAGGCAAGAAGTGACTGGCTTACAAGCTTTCAAGAGGGAACCTAGTTCCAGAGGGTGCGGGGAAGGTAGAATCTCCACTGAGTAGTATCCAATCTGCCTTGACAGGGCTGATGAAAGGAGATGGGGTAAGATTCTTGTGGTACAGTAGTGAATAATTGCTATAAAGACTGACTGTGTTGAAAATGTAAAGGTAGACATTTTGTAACAAAAGGAGGGGAGTGGCTGACTTTGCAGTCTAGGAGCAGAGGTCCCTGGGACCATCAAGGGAGAGGAGTGGAATGTGGGACCCTACCCAGAGAGGCAGTGACACCAGAGATGGAGGCAGAGATTATGACATGGAGAGATTGAGTGGCTGGGGACTCTAGACTGAAAGAGGGAGATGGTGTGTGTGCTGGCTGTGTGCTGGTGGCCGGGAGGCAGGCTTGCAGGGTGTAACCTTTGTTTGTTTGATGATACATGGAGGGGATTGTAATCATTGCAATGAAATTAAATACGATAGGATAAATGCAAAGCTAATGTTCTCCCATGTAAACGATCACATAATTCACAATAAAAACTTTAAAAAAAAATCTAAATAGAGCAGTAAAGAAGAGTAGGACTGGTAAGTACTCTAAGAGTTCATTCAAGAGAATGTATCTGAAGAAATAAAAGTTGATCTGTAATTTTAGGAGTATTGGTAGATGGAATTACAGTCTGATAACTCCATGGAAACAGGAAAGCTGTCATTGTCATTATTACTTAGCCCACTGTTGTTGTTGTTAAATGCCTTGGAGTCAGTTCTAACTCAGAGGGACCCTGTATAGGGTTTCTAAGGCTTTAAGTCTTCGCTGGAGCAGAAAGCTTCATCTTTCTTCCACGGAGCGGCTGGCAGATTCAAACCATGTATTCTGTACAAAATAAGTGATCAGGAATTGTTTTTAAGAGAAACATTTATATTTGAGAATAGTATTAGATTTTTAGAAAATTATGAAGATAGTACAGAGAATTCCAATATGCCCTACACCCAGTTTTCCCTATTATTAATATCTAAATATGATCACCGTTTGTCATAATGAATGGACCAATATTGATATATTAACTACATACTTCATTGTATTTCTATACTTAATATTCTGTTACAGTTTCTCAGATTTCCCTTGTTTTTGTTTTTCCATTTTTTAAATTTCTTTGACAGTTTTAAGGCATATAGGCTAGATATGTAGAATGTCTCTCAAATGAGAAGGTCTGATGTTTTCTCCTGAGTATACTGGATTTATTGGTTTTGTGAGGCTTCCTCAAGACTACCTCCAGGTTTGATAATTAACTAGGAGGATCCACGGGATTTGCCGTGTAGTTGTACTTACATTTATTATTTATTACAGCGTAGAATGAAAGCAAAATCAACAAAAGGTAAGGTACATAGGAAACAACAAA